GGTCTTAGCTCTTAGATTTTGCTAACCGAAACCAAATTTTACTTTTCCAGCTATGTATGCCGTGTTTTATTTCGTGGGAATATATTTCACATTAGTCGAGGGCAATCCCGCCTCGCAGGCAGGTATTCAATTACTGTACTACATCCCAGGAATCGCAGGTCAGTTCTTTCCATGCTTTGCCTCCAACACGCTGTACTGTAACTGACTAAGAGTCTTTATACTCTGCAACAACCAGTTGGTGTTTACTCTGCAATGTTCATGTGCAACCGAGCCCCCGGCCAAACATTTTGGCCGCTGCTTCTGGGCTCCGTCGAGGAAGCGATCGGCCTCGGCATCTTGACCTGGGCCGTTATGGCGAGCCGGCCCAAAATTGTCTCTGGCATGATGGTCGTGACCGGCGCTGGCACTGGCTCGCGCTTCATGCCTGCTTCAATACATGTTGCTGGAGTGTGGCCTGAGAGATTGGCACCAGCCATGTCGCTTATGCGTTTCGCAATGCCCTTTGGAGGCACCCTGGCGTTGACAATCATGAACGCCATATTCAACTCCAAGTTCACTTCAGCAACCTCCTCTCTTACCTTACCAACTGGTAACGGTAACAGTGGCGGAATCAGTGCCCAGGACACGCAATCGCTAGACACCATTGGGCAACTACCCAGCGCGTTGCAGGCCACAGTGAGGGCAGCAGGTCGCGAAGCAGTTGGATGGGCCTTTATCTCCATTCTGCCGATACTCGGGATCAGTGTTCTTGCTTGCTTCGTTCTCGGCAATGTCTGGGTCAAGGCCAAAAAGGACAAATCCGCCGGCTCTACAGTTCCTGGTCAAGGGTCAGGTAGCCAGAGCAGCGAAAAAGAAGCTACTAGGGCCAGCGCAGTAGTCCATGTCCCATATCTCTACGCTCTGTTAAAGGTAACTATTCTCATTCTTTTTGTACCCAGTCGGGAATTTCTCTATACTCATATCCATTGGACCATGTCAACTAACATTGCTCTTTTGCAGGGAGTCGACCGCTACAAGCATGAGTTAAGAATGTTGCCAGCGACGCAGGGACATACCATCCCCCGTGATGCCCAAGCGGCCAAGCCTTTCATTGGGAGAGGTGTATAGCTTATATACACTTCAACATGGTAGGAGTTTGAGTCCATGCATCATCATTTGGTGAGCGAACGTCAGGGTGGTAAATAATAAAGTGCGCTTGAGAAGAGAGCACACAAGTTCAATTTGTATCACGCGGGTCTTCAAGCCGATGTTAATTAAGGATAGTAGACCAAATTCTATAACACTCTGACACTTTTCCTGGCAATTAATATGCTTGTAACGCTTTCCTGTATCAGAGTTTCCTTCTATCAGTCAGGTGCCTTCTAAAACTTGATGGGTGTCTAAGAGCCTTGCTTGAGTGGTTGAAAGAAATCAGCATAAGTAGTGCGGAAATCGAGAAGTCAAGTTTTTGATCAGCAGATGTGCCAAATATTAATTGGACTAGAGATTTTATAAGAATATCAACAGAAAAAGAGTTCCCTTTTGTGGGACATTCTTATTATTAACCTTCTTACTATCCATATATCTTCAATGCCACTCGTAAACAATCATATAACTATTAAAGCTCTTGCTTATTCTATTAATGCATCTTCACTTTCATAAATCCCAGCAGGTACTAGAATACATCCTAAAATACTTGCTCACCAGGCTCAAAACATCTAGGAGCAGATGTAAGTGCGGTGCACGTTGCAGCTGAGGTCAGCCACCGCCGAGTGGCAGTTGCTGTTGAAAGAGCCATCCGAGTTGTCCAGCCACAGGTTACCGCCGCAGCCCTGCAGCGTGTAGCTGAATCCGTTGTCGAGCGGGTTGGCAAGGGGGACGTTGCACGGGTTCTCGCCCTGGTCGTTGATTCGGTCCCAGCGGCAAGGGTCGTCGCCATCAACCCACATGACTAAGAACCATGAAGTATTAGTATTTGAAGGCGAATCGAAGACATATCTCAGCGGTGGAGCTGGATGAAAGATAGAACATACCGTTGAAGCCTGCAGCGGTTCCAATTGCGATGGCAGCTTCAGCATGCATCACAGACATGGCCATGGCCAGGACGGTAGGGATAAAGTCTCGTGAGAAGAGCATGGTGAACTTTGTGTATTGTTGCTTGGTAGATGGGTTTGGTGATGCTGGTATGAATGATGATGCCTTCTAAAACATTACGACTTTGACGGCGAGTTGAAGCCTCTTTATACTCTGGCTATTCTATCAATATGCTTTAAGTCTTTATGAAGTTGCGGTGTCAAGAGTGGCTCCGGCAAGGCTGATGTCCCCCTGAGACTTCTGGGCTGCCATATATGGAAACACAATACCAGGCTGTAGATATTGACTTGTAAAATACAGGAAGGTATCTTGTTGTTTGTTCCAATTCCAGTAGGTAGGTAACTAGCTGTCTAGATCTCAGCTGTCAGATCAGCAGAATGATACTATGCAAAAGTCTGTAGACCAATGATGGGAATCTGCTGAGTTACGCATGCTTACTTCAAGCTAGGTTTGAAGCATAGTCAGCGGGCGCAGTTGGAAAAGCGGAGCTCGTATCTGAACGACGGGGACAGGGGTACAGAAGAATAGAAACACCAAAGCTAAGGTACAAAAGAGTCTTGTTATGTCATAGCACTATGGTACAATTGGCAAATCTAAAGGATTCAATCTGGGCATTCGGTACATAAAAAGTAATTGTTACTTCATAAACAGTAGCAGCTGTTAAACCAGACTTGAATCACATTGTCTACAAGTATGGCAATTGTGTCCTTGTGGCGATATGATTACTTTTTCTTTTTGTTTCTTTGGCCCTATTTGGCAGGCCCCTGGCGGGTCACCGGCTCGGAAGATCGCCAAGCGATTGGTGCAAGACGGCAAAGTCCGCTGGATGTATGTAAGCCGCTTTTATTTTCGGGGAATTTATCGGACTTTTATCAATGGACTTTTATTAATTAACATAACATGCAGCGTAGTTTGCAGATAGAGAAGCTTACTTTCATGTAGCCCTAATTTTGGAGATGGTTAATACAACAACAAGTCAGGTGTTGCGACGAGGAAACATTGCGTGCAATCACTACAGGGGGCACGATTTGTCGCTATTAAACGCTTGAAAACAACAACCGAAAAGAGAAAAAAGGGTGTGGCTTTTTTTGCCAATGTCCCTATCCTTGCAATTATCACAATATCGTAAAAGTGGGAAACGCCGATCCCCAATTTTCCACCACTTACACGAACCTATATGATCCTATGTGCCCGTCTAGCGCTTAGTCTATGCAAGTATATAACAGATACTCCGTTTCTTCCAAAGTCGTTCAGCTCTTAATTCAAGCCATGAGTAGGCAGCATTTGATGGAACTTCATTCTGTGGCAACTATTGCAGTCAGTAGATGTCATATTGAATTCCACCTCCATGTTCTAGGGACGCACAATTTAGCTGCCAGTTATTATATACACATATATTCTTTGTACTCTCCAGCTCACCGGCTATATACACTCAATCCTTCCATCAGATACTAATTACATCAAATCTCAACTGACAGGAACAGATGGAAGCAAGCTCCACAGATGGTCCGGCGTCCCATTGTCCTGGAACTGGACAACATTGGCGCTGTTCGCCGTCGACTCACCATCCACTCCAACCAACAGCCCGCTATTCTTATTCTGAATCATGAAATACCCATTCGGATCTGACTTTACCCTCCAAAGATGGTCGTCAGTTCCGCTGTCCTGGAACTGCTGCAGCTGCGCGCTGTTGGCCGTCGACGCCCCCTGGACAGCCAGCAGGAGTCCGCTGTTGAGGTTCTTGATCTTGTACCAGCCACCAGGCGCCTTGATAAGCTGCCACAGATGGTCACGCGTACCGTTGTCGTCGTACTGCTGGATGTTTGCGCTGTTGGCTGTCGAGGCGTTTTGCACGCCCATGAGCTTTCCGCTATTCTTGTTCTGGATCTTGTAAATGGCCGGAGCCCAGACCTCAAACTCGGAGAGGCCCCAGCCATTTCCGCTGCCCGGGTTGGGCGCCACGACGCGCAGCTGCGAGGTGGTGATTGTCGGAAAGGTGATTGTCGTCGGCGAGTTTGACGCGGTGGAGGACACGCTGCGCTGCTGGCCGGGGACGGTGACCCAGCTGCTGCCGGAGAGATACTGCAGGTCGTAGCTCGAGGGCAGCTTCACGCCGCCGCCGTCGGTGTAGAAGAACAGCTTGACGTTGGAAACTGCCTGCGGCCGGCGGAGGTCCACGCCGAAATAGTCCGAGGCGTTGGGGCTCTGGTACGACGTCCAGCGAGTGTTTTGGGGAACGGCGTTGCGGTAGACGATGCCGTCAATGGCCCTCCACACATTGTCATACTGGGAGGTCCAGGACGCAAACGGCGTCGTGTACTGCGAGTATGCCTGGCTGTTGACGGCGATGTTGACCTGCGCGTCGAAAGTCTGGGCAACGGCGCTGCCGATGTTGACAGTGAGGAACCCGATGGTGTCACGATTGGCCGTGACGGCCCCGTCCACAAAGACCCTCAGGCCGGAGCCCTGGTTGTAGTGCTGACCGGTCTTGTCCCATAGGACTGTGACGTTGTGTCCGTGGTATGCGACGTTCTCCAGCATAAAGTAGTCCCACGAGGAGGGGATGAGGGGGTTGACCGTCAGAGTGCTGTTGGACTGTCCGCGGAGGCCCAGCAGTCCGGCAATGACGTTGTCGATGTAGGTGGAATGGTTGTAGTCCTCGCTGTGGTTGTAGGTATCGTACATCCACGAGTTGGAGTCTGGGTTGTGAGCTTCAGCCACATAAGGCACGCCGTTTCGATACTGGGTGGCGGCGTAGGCAGAGAGAAGGTTGAAGTAGTCTGTCGAAGTAATGTAGGACTGTGACGGATAGTCGTTGAGCACATTCTCCACAGCCGTCAAGACCTGCGAGGTGGCGTACGGCCATGACGGGCCATCCCACTGAAGGCAGGTTGCGTTCATGTCCATGTAATACGGGCTTCGTCGTTCAGCAGTCGTTGGGCCGTAAGTGGCCGCAAAGCCCTGCGAGTCCTTGAGCTGGGAGAAGGCGGCGATGTTGGCAGACTGCGGCATGTCAAACTGCCACGGGAAGTAGCCCATGATTTCACGCGTGTCGAACAGCTGCAGCGAGGGGTTGTTGTCTCGCGGCAGATGCATAAAGAACTGACGCCCGCTGTCCCAGAGATGAGTCTGCATGGCAGTCTGCAGGGCGTTGGCCCGGCCCGTGTACTCAGAGGCCAGGGCCGAGTCCCCCTTCAACGTGGCCAAGGACGCAATAGCCCGAGCGTCTCCGTACTGATATCCGTTAATGGTCGGTCGATATCCAGCGCCGCCGTGGTAAGGGTTGCCCGACGAGTAGGAGGCGGCCGTGCACTCGGAGGCATCCCAGACGGGGACTTGCCAGTAGAGGCCGAGGTCAGAGTTGAAATGGTTATCCCAGCCGCGGTATTGCTTGACAAGGTTGTCCAGATGACTGATGGCAAAGTCCGCGTCTCCAGTTACGAGATACTGGCGCCACACGGCGTTGGCTACCCAGAAGCTGTACTCGTGCGCCCAGTCCGAGGCGTCCAAGTTGTAGTTGTCGGTCTGCGGCTTGGCAAACTGCCCAGGACCAGCCAGCCAAAAGTTGACCTCATCCCTGCCATACTTTTGGTCTCGAATCCAGCGTCCTTCGACGATGTGGTGGCCCGCGGCGGCGTTAATACCATTGTATGGCGAACCATAGCCGGTGGGAAGCAGAAACTCGGTGAGCAAGTAGCCGTACTGCGAGCTGGTGTAGGTGATGTGCTCTTTATACGTCTGCCAGCGGTAGTAGTAGACGTCTTGGATCTGCTGGCTGGGAACATCAAGAAACGGGATGTTCTGCAGGAACCAGTTGGGATCTTCGAAGCCGGAGACTAGCTGGTTATGGTTCAGGAAGTTGGTGGCTACGGAACGTCCTGAAAAGACAACGACGGCGGCGCCAAAGACGCGCACAGTGAACGTCTTCATCTTTGCTTGGGCCTGGCCGAAAAAAGCCTTTTTACTGCTGAGGACTTTTCAACCAGAGCAGTCTCATGAAACTGGCATTGCCTTTATATTAGTAGTTTGATACTTGTGCATTTGACAGACGTCATGGGACAAAACCCATTATTCCAAAAAAGGTAGGACATTGTTCATAAACGGATTCCTAGACCGAAACATGAAGTCTAGATTCGTTCTTGGGAGTTGTCCAAGGACGCAGTTCCTCAATCCTTGCTGTGTTTGCTAAACTAGATATAGATATTGATATCGAAGGATGATGCTACACATGTTACATCGCGCCCTCAATGAGCCTGTAAGACCGACAACAACCCCGGCTGCTAGCCTGTTCTTGACATAACAGCTCAATTAAGTACTCTGTTGTGTGTTTACATGGACTCATTGCCCAGTTACCATCAGGCCAAGTGGGCGTGCCATCAGCGGGGCAACCCTGTATATATTTATTTACAAGCTTCAGCAAGTTTCCTGCCTTAATGCTGCAACTAACCCTAGCCCGAATCCTTCAATCTCATGATTATCTGACAGATGCCTGTTAATCCTATGACACTGAGCGATAGCGAGCGTATTGAGCATCACGATGCGTATTGGAGATGCTTATAATTGCAGCTGATCCACTTGGGCGGGCCGGTTAGATTCCTTTTGGCATCATTTGGTCCATATGCACTCTAGCTCATTCAAAGCACATGGCTAACATTTTGGGGCTCGTGGTCAACTGCCGTTTCGAGCCTGGCCAGGGGCATCACGCATAAGATGGATCTAGCCCAAAGGAGCACTTGGGTGTCTCATGGTTCACCACGCAAATAGCCTGAAGAGTACGTGTATAGTGTATAGTAGGTCTTACAAGTCAGCCGACTCTGGCTAGCATCAGGCCTATTCACGACTCTTCTGCCGCATCTGGCAGATTATAAATATGGCATTCAAGGCCTTGATCCTGCAGACGCCAGCTGATGCAGCTCGCACCTGAGCAGGAATGGTAAACCGGAAATGCTTACCGGCAAGACAATCGAAAGCTCAGCAAAATAGCCAACGACGGCACCTAGACTATACCTCGATCTACGCCCGCATAAGTCGCAGCAATGAACGCATCAACGACCATCTAGTGAATCTAACAAGCCCAAGGCCAAGACGCACTTGTAGACGTGAATGTGCTCAGAATGAGCGATTTGCCAAGCATCCACAACCGGCCCAATCAAGATTGAGCGTTTCTGCACAAGCGCGAGGATGCTTAATTTAATATAAAGGCACAAGGGCCGATTCCAGCTTCCTCCAACTGCCGAATCAATCTTGGGGACCGCCGATGGTGCTTCGGCATCGGCGCCGATGGCGGGGAACGGAGTCAGCCTCACCCTCACCCTCACCCTCACTAGGGACAATTGCCAAACGCAGCATTAGAGCGCAGCAGTGATTGAGATCGATGCAGGGCCAGGCCGGGGTGCATGCAATGCATCGCGGCAGCCGAATGAATGTCGCCCAGCAACAGCTCCAATTTATTGCAGCGTCGCAGCGCCGTCACATCGCAATGTCTTTCCGGCGCCGAGAACGAGGAGCTTGCTGGGATGATCCTTTCAGGGGAGCAGAACCCCATTATTCCCCGCCTTGCCTGACTCAGATGCTTGTTTGCGTCATTTGTGTATAATACCTGTACTTGCTACTTGTGATTTCATCGCTGTTAAAGACGTCGATGGCCATGCTAGTGAGTACATGTCTTTTTCTTCACTTAGAAATCTGTTAGTATATAATCGAGACAAGACCGTGCCACATCAACCTGACCTTTCAGGTAAGCCATCTGTTTATGCTATCCACAGTAAGAAGCAGCATCATACAATAATCTGTCGTTCAGATAGTGTGTCAACCTACTTGTACCTGCAATCTACCTGGTAACCTACCCGCCTCGGCTTATACGCCTTATTAGATCGATGGCTGCCTGGCTGAGACTAGGCCACATGTATATTAGCTACAGCTTCACATAACTCCATGCAATGCAAGGCACGAGCAACTTGCTGCTTTTAGCTGCTTTGGCGCCGGATGCGAGAGCCTCAAAAAGGAACGCTCTACATCAGATGCCCAGACAGCGTCTTGGAGAAGAATTTGACGGTAGCCCGGGTTTTCTACCAGTAATGAGCAGTCATCATGCAAACAGGTGCATATCAAGCATCGAGTTAAATCAAGCGAGAGCAAGTCTGTCCGTCAAGTCATACCATGCATACCATGCACTTTACGTAAAATGTCTAAATACAGATGAACATTAGACTAAAAGCCCTCCCAGCGGTTCGCTTTAGGGCCTGCTTCTACTACTATTGCTACAATCATTACTACCATTGCTATTATCGCTACTATTATAGTCCATTGCTCATAACATACCCTGGGCAGCGACCGTGTCCGACCGTCATCATCCAGCACCAGCAGTGTCAAGACAAAAAGAGAGAGCCCTAGAAGGCTATTAAAAGTACATGTATATATTTGACAATCAGGCCGTGAAGGTCAATCTACTTGCGCAAGTCCTCTTACATTGTGATTTATCCCTCAATCCATGGTCATGTCAAGAACTTGATAGCATGACGGGTTTTTCACTAGCAATGAACAGTTGTATTTTCTGCTAAACGTAACATCAAGAAAAAAAAAAGAAGCATTACCATCCATCGAGAAATACCAGGGACCAGTACATCCTTCGCTCCATTTATTCTCAAGTGAGTATGCTTTGTTACAGCTAGGTAAACATTATTCGCTTTCTAGACTGCTTGCGTCGCTTTCTGCTGCTACTTCTGCTACTGTTGCTATCTAGGTCATTGGCCACGGCTGTTACTGTCATCATGGCTATCACTGCTACCGCTCAAAGAAATCTCCGTCAATCGCCTGCCAAATGCTAGGCAGCGATCCGGCCACGTCGTCGTCCTCCAACACTGGCAGGGCCTCCAAAGCAACAGCTCAATCAGCGTCAAGGCATTTCCACCTGCGCATTTTATCCGACAATATTGCAGTTTTCCATTAATCCGTGGTCATGTCCAGATGCCGACAAGCCATTAACAGAACCCCAAGCAGCTCCTCACATCCATCGGGGACCGTCCACCGCTGTCACCCGGGCGTAGTCACCCGCGACTAATCTTTGACGCTGACCAAAGACCAGCAGAATGTGCGCATGTCAAATAGTGTGACAAATGGCGTATTGAGCGCTCTGGAGTAGTGGACGGCTTGTTTCAGTAAAGTGTAGGCATTGGATGACGATTCGAAAGATTATGGATGGCCGTTGTCCATCTTGGTGCTGCCTCATTTCCCAATGTGCCCCCTCTGGACTGGTCTCCGTCTATAGCCGACACTTTCTGGAACTCCATGGCAGCAATTTCCCTCAGAGGTATTTGGAGCTTAGTTTGCCGAAAATGTATCTTGTCGGCGCGTCCAGTTGGTGGAGAAGAGTGTATCTATACTTGACTTCCATGTCTGACTGTCGGGAACGCTTTTTGAAGTGCCTGAAGCACCGAGTGGCGCTTCGGAGATGACATCGATTTCCAGGAGAATGCGAGGGGGCTCGGAAGCTTGAGTTGATGAACCAGAAACACGCGCTTGAGGTGGTGGACATCTGAGATTCAGGTCGGTAGACTGAAAGATTCGTAAGTAGTTTGCACCATGATGATTCGTTGTTTCAATGCGAAAACGCAAAAGGGCAGGCAGCCAGGGTGAGAGACAGATATGAATGGTAGTATGAAGCGAGAACAAGCAAGAAGAGAAAGAGAGAGAAAGGCTGAGGAAGGCGAAGAAGAAGAGAGAATGAAAGAGGAAGAAGTAACGTCAGGAGGCGAAACAAGCGTAGGTGGATATACCTGGTCCATGCATCACAGTGCGTAACGGCTGCGTGGACCATGTACATGTCGCTACTGCTGCTACTGCTGCTATCAAAATCCCACCATGAATTATTGCTATTATTGCTACTATAGCTATCGCTGCTATCGCTGAAATAAGCCTCCCTCCATCGCTCGCTACATGCCCTGGCCAGCGATCCGGCCAGATCGTCGCTGTCCAGGACCAGCAGCAGGGCTTCCGCGGAGACCAGCAGCCCGGGAACGCTGGTCGTCGATCCACTTGCGCACTTCCTCCGACAATACTTGCTTCATCATTGGGTAAAGCTGATCCGGGCGTTGTTGATGCCGATGAGCCATCAGAAGAAACCCGAGCAGAGCCCGTCGCATAAGCTTGGGATCCTCTATCACAGTCACCAAAGCGTATCGGCCGGCCCGCATACCCTGCCGGAGGGGGAAGACCAGCAAAATAAGGGTGCGCATATCAGCTATCGCAACAAACGGCGTGTCGAAGGCCATGGAGTAGTTTGTTGCTTGTTTTAGCAGTGTCCAAGTGCCGGAAGTTAACACGAAACGATTTTCATTGATATTCTCCATGTAAGCATTGAAATTTGCCTCATCACTGATTATTCCCTCGCCGAATTCGTGCCCATCAACAACTGAAACATTTTTGAATTCCAAGACGGCAAAAGGCTTTCGACCAGCTTGAAACTGGCCAAGGTATACCTTGTCAGCTCGAGCAACATGAGCTCTTGAGGCCAAGGTAAATGGGGGAGAGATGAATTCGCTCCCATATGTGGTTCCTGGGCGAGCGCATTCAAGTGCTTTTTGTACTGGGTGACACAGCTCTAGTCCCAGTTGGGCAACGACATCGCCCTCAGTTGCGTGCAGCGCTCCATTCTCTCTCGCAGGAAGATATATTGAGCTTAGGTATGGCCTGTGTTGTTGGAGAACGGGGTGTGCTATCCTTTCCCACTTGGTAACATCGATGTCTAAAAAAAAGCGAGGGGGTTGAGCAGCTTGAGTTCCTTGACCAGACACGTGAGTCTGATGCGTTGGAGATCTGTGATCGGGTCGATAGATTGGCATATAGAAAGAATCGAAAATGGTTGACGCCATTGCAAATATATGTTGTCTCTGAGATATGAAAAGCTAGCTGAGGCGAGAGATAGATATGAGCGGCTGTATGAGGCAAGAATAAGGCAGAGAGATTGCTTGAGAGAGAGACTGGGAGAGACTGAGAGAGACTGAGAGAGACTGAGAGAGACTGAGAGAGACTGAGAGAGGCTGAGAGAGACTGAGAGAGGCTGAGAGAGCTTAAGATAGCTGGAGAGAGAGACAGAAAGGCTAGGAAGAGGGATAGGAGGAGAAAGAAGAAGAAGTAAAGTCGGGGGGCGAGTGAGGCATAGATGTAGTCTAAACAGAGCGGTATGTGACGGCTGCGTGCAGCATTATAATGTATTTCTGTTCTTACTTTAATAGTAGCAATAACTACTGCTGCTGCTATTGCTGCTATTGCTGCTATTGCTGCTATTGCTGCTATTGCTGCTATTGCTGCTATTGCCGCTGCTGCTGTGTTTACCATTGCTATTACTATTGTCACGATTACCAGTTTTGTAAATATAGGTAATTAACAACGAAATATTCTATATAGGCACACTAATGTTGGGTTATTGTATAATAGAACAGAGATACTCGGTTACTTTTTCTTGAATACATGCAGTGACAATAATAGGAAATGAAATGATATTTCGCAAATCTCAGTTCTATTATCCAGCAATACAGCCGTAAGATTGTCACGCGTTTACAAACGTTATCAGCCCACTGCTTCTATAGGCTTCTATAGGTACTAGTTACTAGCTTGCCAGCATATCTGGCGGATGGGATTTCCATCCATGTGTCGACTGATTGCCGGAGTGCTGGTTACACGTGGTGACCCTCTACTCATAGTAGGTGCTACATGTACCAATTTGATACTGCCCGGCGGTATGCACCTACTTATTCAGCATTAAACGCCGGGTCACTCTCATTCAAGGTACCCCAGCAAGCCAAGGTGGAAACAGGAGCACCCTGCCCAAGGTACATGTGTTTGACTCCACGGGCTCATTGTCTGGGCCATTGTCGTGCCTACCACACCCGCGAGCGTGGTGATTGGGGGCATATCTTGGATGCATGGGGTGGCTACCTTGCACAATGGCCATTGAACTACTAGTAGTCTTTGGGCTCCATAAAGGCCGGAATGACGTCGCCTGGATTTGCGAATATCAACATGAATCAATGGCACCAGACCGCTGCCTGGCAGTGCTACGCGTACTGCTGCCCCACGCGGCTGCCTTCATGTTGCCGCGAGATAAGGTTTGAGGCTGAAGTGCAGTGAATCATTCAGCCACTGTAGCACGGCCGCCCTACTTCTCCACCCCCCCCCCATTCTCGCTCACCCTCGTCCTCGCTTCACTTTTTTCCTCTCACTCTCGATTCATCTCGTCTTTTCCTGGCATATCAGTCGAACCACCGCCGCCATCTCAGCCCAATCCTGTAATCCCGCCATCTTTTCCAAATCATTGTGCAGACAAGACAAGCATGGATCTCCCTCCGCCAGGCTCGCCAGTCGAAGACGATCTCAAGCCAGACTTGCCATATGTTGTTGGCGCAAGGTTGAAAATCCAACAATGCCAGCCCCATCGGCCGTTTGGGATTTCCTTTCAGGATCAAACGTCCCGCACCTACCATTGGAATCCCATGTTGAAATGGGAAACGGCAAGCGAATTTTGCGTTCAGAATCCACCTCTCGAGGGCCAACCCATCGCCAATCCAGAAAAGCGTACCATCGTCATCGACAGCAAGCTTGCATGTGGCGATGGCCGTGGCTCTCAGCTCGTCAAGTGCCGTGACGAAGACGGAGGAGCATCATTCGTCGCCAAAATCTATGATCCGCTATACCACCTGTGGCCTAGTAATCTTGATCCTACCCACGAAGCAGACGAGCACTTCACAACCGAAGCCACGGTGTACATGATGCTGCAAGATATGCACAAAGCCAACACCTTTGGTTATCCTCGAGTTCGAGACCACCTGAAAGGGTCAACACCGCAATACTATGGAAGTTATACCTGGCAAACGCAACTACTAGACGGTCGACGTCGAGACGTGCGCCTGATTCTAATGGAGTATCTTCCATTCCCAAACATGTGGGCCATCATCAAAAAGAACAAAGTTGAGAATATACCGGCCGAAATTCGAATGCAGCTCTTAAAGAGGGTCCTTGAGATTGACAGCTGGCTCATATACTACGGCATCGACCAGAATGATTTCGCGGCGCGCAATATCTTGGTAGACCCAGATCAAGGTCGCGTTGTTTTTGTAGATTTCGGCATTGCAATGATTCGAAATTTGTACAACTCCGAGTGGGCCACCCCCCGCGATAAACCTCTACCGGCTCTCCCCATATCTCCCATCGAGAGGTGGGGATGTAAATGGGGAGATGAGATGGGAAGCTGGGTGCCCAAGGAATACCGCACCGCTCGGGCGCGATACGACTGGTTTATGAAAGTATGGGGCCAATCCAAGGAGTTCCGGCCCCTTGGCGTTATATGGTTGAAGCATCATAAACCAAATCTGCAAAAAGCTATAGCAAGGGAGGAAATGGAGGAATGAAGCGAAGGGAAAATGAAGCCTCGACAGGCCGGGATCCCAGACAGATGAAGGATTGTGCGATGGGGTGATGAATGGCAAATGGTACATTGTGTGCTGCTACACGCGACAACCACAGTTTTGATCGTCATAATAATAGGCTAAGGCAATATACGCGCGAGGGTGAGATGATAATTTGCTAAACTTTACGTGCTGCCACTTGCCATGTGAGCTGCTCAACAATACCCGTGAAATCGCGAGAAGGAACACATTGCATCACTTTTGAGCCAAGTCGATATGCAAGTAAAGCTGAGAGGAACCTCCAGCGTCAGAGGCCAAGTAGAGCAGGCCAGCGTAGATTCTGCACACATGATGCTTCCTGTCCAGAGCGGCGCTTCTCTACAATGGCTTGTATTTGTCTCTCGAGGCATAATACATGAAAACTTGCCAATTCTCGTGAAACGCTTTCTTTCCAAGCACTTTACCGAGGCCATGCAAAAAAAAAAAAAAAAAAAAGGAGAAGACAGAAATCCAAAGAGGTGGAGAGAAAAGCTAGCTACCGCGGTTATGTCCGCGTTTGAATCTGAGACACGAAAGAACACGAGAAGATAGTTCTCGAATGCCAAAGAGACGACGGCAAAACGATTCCATATCGAGAGCTTGCATTTCCAAGTGTACACCATTTGTGCTGCCCGGTTATCTGGAGAGCCCTGAAAGGTCATATCAACTCAAGCTCACCGATCTCAGCCATCGTTCCCAGTCAGTTACATTCAAGTACTACCACACTTTTTTTCCTTTGTCCCAAAGACTTGCAGCAAAAACAAGGCACTACGGAGCTTCCAACGTCTTTGACCGTCTTTTTCTCAGACTCCTTGCTGCATATCCACCCGATGATGTCGTCACTCGGGAACAGTACATGTAATTCCCGTGTTTTCAACGGACATGCGGACCTATGCATGCAGATGCCTACCCTGAGGAGCCCAGAGAGAGCATTGTAGGATATTTTGACTTTGCTTCAAGGATTGCAGGGAGGCCATCACGGCAGCATACCCCCGTTGCGTATGCTCTGAGGCCCTGAAACTTTTGTGTCCTTGGCCGGGAGCCCACGTTGATAAGGCAGGCTCCCGGGCTTTCAGTACATGAAGCGCCGTTGAATCAAGCACCCAGCCGTGCTGAAACGATACGAGTCCAAGGATGCGCACCCGGCTTGAGTGGATATTGTCAAGGTGAAGTTGATCCTTTTTCGCGCATACACCGCCAAGTGTGGCAGATTCGATGCGCACCTTGATGGCATCTGCCAATCCACATCGGGCGGCCTCTCAGCCATGGCAAAACGGCGGCTGGTGGAACACGACCATACTAGCAGCGGTCTGCCTGGAGCCGCCATTTGTATTCAGACTTGCGGTGCGGGAGCCTTGACGCGGCAGACAATGTCGGCGTGCTCATCAGAACAAGTCCACGCTCGAGATGGTGTTACTGCATGCGGGTGCTCAAGATCCGGGAATGGGGCGTCGAGGTACAATGTGAACAGGCCGTGAATCCGAGCTGTCAACATCGTCTCTAAAAGGAACCTCGCGCTCATGATCGTTCAGCAATTGTTCTTGGAGACTCGTGCCAACAGCAGAAGAAGACTGCATGGAGGGCCTGTTTAGTTGGATGCAGCGCAAATGAAATGCAACAATACACAGCTACTAGTAGCAGTAATAGCAGTAATAGCAGTAATAGCAGTAATAGCAGTAATAGCAGTAATAGCAGTAATAGCAGTAATAGAAGTAATAGAAGTAATAGAAGTAATAGAAGTAATAGAAGTAATAGAAGTAATAGAAGTAATAGAAGCAATATAAGTAATAGAAGCAATAGAAGTAATAGAAGCAATAGAAGTAATAGAAGTAATATAAGTAATGGCAGTAATAGCAGTACATAACAGAAGCCTTCACGTAGTCGAATTTAGCACTCCGTGCAGCAATCCGCAGACATCTTCGCGGCTCAGAACCCCATGCCTTTCCCTTTCCCATAGACTCGAGCGCACTTCTTTTGACACCAGTATCCCTTGCCACTTGTACTCGTCCATATCCTTGTGGGCCACGGCTAGGCTCAAAAACCCAAGCAAAGCTCGCCTCATCCTCACTGGCTGGTTTATGATAGACAAAGGCGAAGTCGCCGCCATATTCTCCCTCGCGTCATGTCGAAGAATGCGACAAACGGTGTGTCGTAAACCTTGGAGTAGTGGCTGAATCGATATAGCAGCTTTCCGACTCATCTTTTGTGGCATTTGCTCTTGGTGATATGCAGCCCGTTTCGGAAAGCCACAGTCACCCATGTCGTATAATTGCCACCATCCATGTCCTCTCAATCAGCGAATATCAACAGCCCCCCGCTGTTCTCAGATGTATTGAACTGGCAAGAGTGATTGATGCCTTGCTTGAGTACGATATTGACACCAGCCCTCTACAGAATACGTGTGTCAGTAACAAAGTTTCAGACGTGGAGCACAACTGGAGTTGCCCCTCACCGTCAAACCATGAGATGTGCTGCGATCAACGGAGGCATCAAGCGTTGGATCATCGATATGCAGAGCAAGGCTGAGCTATTTGATACTGGCGTCAAATAAAGGCTTAGGTTGTTGTCGCCGCCATGCCCAACCAAGCGTTGTAGGAGGCACGTCGCAGACGGTATATCGAATGCCCAGGAATCGCGACTCGAGCCGTTTCTGATACTTGTACTGACCAGCTGTCACTCTTACGACAAGCACGTATAAGTTGAAGAGCTCGACACACGGGGTTCGTGTCAACTATTGAAGATGACGGCATACCTTGAATGTGTTGGAATAACGCCTTGTTAAGTGAATAGAGGATGAAAAGCTGAATGTTTGATGATGGCAATCGTTTTTTGCGGTGATGCGGGCGGTTGGGTGATATGATGAGGGGAGGAATAGGGGCATGCCACAATATAAACACAGCACCCTTACCTAAGCACAAGTGAATGCAAACAAACCATCTGTGCTGAACAACAAAGTGGATTGGATTCAGCCTGATCGACGTGAAACTGCACGTTGCCGTGCTCAAAGTTTGAGGCTGATGTGCAGTGAATCAAGCTGGGCACAGACCTCCTCATGTGACTGGGTAGAAGCCGAGATGTCGACGAAAGAGCCAGACTTCGGGTAGCATTGAAGCAGTAGAAGCAGTAGAAGCAATAAAGTAGTAGAAATAGTAGAAACAGGAGGAAATGCACTTGTACGATACCTCTCTGCGCTACCATGTCGATAGAAACAGTAGTACTAAAGGCATGCTCCTCTCAAAAATGCACAAATTCACAAGCCAAAATCCAGACAGAGCAAACAAGCACAAACATTCTCATGTTGATAAATGTCCTATATAGCAAAAGAAAGAAAAGATATCAAAATCTCTCTAATTCTCATCCAAAAGAAACGAAGAATATATAAACTTTTTGTTTATACTGCTTTTTCCATCTCCCAGCAGCATCATCCAAATCCTACTCAACCGCCTACTCCTTTCCGACAACAGCATCCAAAGCATCACTAAACAGCGGCTTGATACCATTCCAAGTCTCAAACTGCATAAAACACATTAGCAATTTACTCACATAAAAAGGCAAAGTCAATAAAAATCAACATACCTGGTACCATCCCTGCGCAGCAAGAACCTCCAACCCCAGAATCGTCGTCCACCCACCAACCTTCTCCGCAATCTGAATCACCGGCGTCTGCGGCGGATGATACGCCATCTCCAGCAAAACCTTGCTCTGCTCCCCTGCAGAAGCAGAAGCAGCAGGCTTCAACAAAGCGCCGAGAATCTCCCCAACGCCGCCATCAATAGGCCTATCCGCAGGAACAGTGCTAATGCTCACAACAGGCTTGCTCGCAAGCTTCTCGGCATCAGCAGCGCTGCCCACACTCTGGATGTCGTACTCAGCCGGGAAATTGGACGCAAGAGCCTGAACCTTTTGGGCGTCTCTACCCACAACGTAGATGGGCTTGAAGCCCAAAGAGTTCAAAGCAAAGATGGCAGCTCGGCTAGTTCCTCCAGTGCCAATGACAGCAGCACTGGCATCACCAGCCTGCGTTTGAACACCAGCCTTGCGAAGCACGTGAACCATGCCCTTCCAGTCAGTGTTGTCACCAATCAACCGCTGGCGACCCAACGACTCATCAGCCACAGGAACAACAGTGTTGACAGCACCAATAATCTTGGCCGCATCCGTCAACTCATCCAAATGAGCCATGATGTCCTGCTTCAGCGGAATCGTAACCGACGCACCGCCAAAGTCCGCAGCGCGTAGCACCTCCACAACATCCTCAACCTTGTCCGTCTCCAAACGCTGGTAATGATGCGGCAGGCCAGTCTGGCCAAAGAGAGTATTGTGCAGCGCCGGCGATCGTGACTTGGAAATCGGCTTGCCAAACAAGTAAAAGTTGCGCGGCTCAATCTCTCCCAGCAGAGACAGGCCCTGTCGGATCTCAGCGGCGGACAGCTGTCCGGGGGCAGCCTTGAAGGGAAGAGCAGGGTGCGAAACGGGAGTGAGGAAGCCGTTCAGCACACGGCTGAGCTTGCCCGCAGAGCCCATGTTGAGGGCAATAATGGGCGTTGGCTGAGCCGCCAGCATCCTGGACTTGAATCGGATCAAGTCAAAGTTGTCGTCGACGCTTCGGGCAGTGCCAACCAGCTTAATCACATCACCATACTGCAGTGCCCTGTTGTAAGCCGCAATCCAAGACGCATTCTTCCATGACAGAGCACCAGCAGGATCGTGGTGAGACGTGATAATGACAGAGCTTCCTCGGTTATCTCTAACCTCCTGCATAATCTCATCCGTCGATGTCACCTCAAGATCAATGTACTCGACGCCCATGCGAAGAGCCAAACGGTAAAGCTCCAAGCGCAGCTCATTGTCGTTATCAGGGAATTTTCCGCCCTGAGACTCGCTTCGGACTGTGAAAATGATGGGCTTTCCAGTCACATGTCGGAGCAACGACACCTGCTTCATGACGGCCTCGGGCTGCACATCTTGCAACAGATCCACGCGCAGCTCCACGGCATCGCTATCAGCAGTGACGCGAGGTAATATGTCCACCGCAGCGCTGAGATCAGGCAACGTCAAAGAAACAAAGAAGCTATGTTTCTTCTTGGAGACAGTCTCAAGAGTCCGAGACTTTCCTGAAATCACCGAAATAAACTGTGAAAAGTCGTCGGGGATCTCAGACGTAGTGGCATCCTGTGTGTGCGGGCTGTAGTAGAGCATGTTGCTGCACTCCCTGTACCAGGGCTTCCTGCGCTCGTAAACCTCCCGGATCTCGGCCGTGTAAGCTGGTCTCGTCTTATCCTGTAGCAGGTAGTTGACAACCTGATCAGTATCTCGGTGAACCAGCAGCACAAGACCGCCATTAGCACCGTACGACTTGAGGACTTCGCGGGCAGCCGGGGTCTCGACAATGCCGCCTCCACATGAGAAGACATATCCCTTCGGATGAGCCTCGATAACATTACGCAAAAGCGCCAGTTCATCCTCACGGAATCCCTCCCAGCCTCGAGGGCCCTGAACAATCTCCGGAATGGTCGTGCCACTTCGTCGTTCCAGCTCGTGGTCCAGATCGATAAACTTCCAGCCGAGAGTCTTTGCAACCCACTTGCCAGCAGTAGTCTTTCCGGCTCCCCTCATGCCAACAACGAAAATGGATCGCTGAATATTAGCAGAAGTCTTGGGCTTGGTCTCGCGACTGCTTTCGGTATCAACACCCGCCAGCGTCGCCTTGAACGACTGAGCCAAGACATCCCACCAGCCAGGCCAGGTCTTGCCAACACACTCTCGCTCAGTGACCAAGACAGGGCCGGGAGCCGCAAGAGACAAGACACTGAAGCTCATGGCAACTCGGTGGTCGTCGTAGCAGTGAATGCTCTCGGTAGGTGTAACCAGGCTATCCCTAGATTTACCAATAATCTGGATACCGTCTTCTAGCTCGTTGCAGAGCACTCCGAATTTAGCCAGCTGATCTTTCATGGCCAAAATACGGTTGCACTCCTTAACTCGCTGGTTGGCAATTCCAACAATCTCAGTCGTTCCGGTAGCCACCGCCGCCAAGACAGTAGCCGTAAGGAAAGCATCCGTCATGGTCGTCATGTCGACACTCGGCAGCGCCTTGAGGGCTCCACCCTTGGGACCCGTAACGGTAGTAGAGTAGTCGTCCTGGTGAACTTCGCATCCCATCGGCTTGAGGATCTTGACAGCGAACTGGGCGTCTCCCTGGAGAGATTTGGATCCAATGTTGGGAATGGTGCAAGTAGTACCAGAAATGGCGGCCACAGCGAGTGGGTAAGTAGCAGAGCTGGCGTCGCTCTCAACAATGTACTCGGCGGGGTTCTTGTAGACGCCCTGGGGAATGTGGTAGGTGTCCGCCTCATCCGCAGAGGGAGTGACTTCAATGCCAAAGGACTTCATCATGGAAATGGTCATGTCAATGTATGGCTGGGAAATGGGCTTGCCTCCGACCAGGCGCAGAGTAACGGCCTTCTTGGCATAAGGAGCAGCCATGAGAATGGAAGACACATATTGAGAGGAAACAGTGGCTGCAAGCTCAATATCTCCTCCCTCAAGGCCAGCCGAGGCATTGATTCGCAGGGGAAGACTCTTCTCTCGCTCAAGGTAGTCGATAGCAACACCGTTGCTGCGTAGAGCGTCCACAAGGGGGCCAATGGGTCGTGTCTTCATTCGCGCGTTGCCGGTCAGCACAGTAGTCGTAGCAGTGCTAGTAGGAGCACACAGAGCCGCAACTGTAGTCAAGAAACGCGATGCAGTTCCCGCGTTACCAATGTACAAAGGCTCATCGGAAGCCTTCAGTTGGCCGCCGTTGCCTTCGACAACCAAGAGCTGGCCGCCCTCCTCCCACGAGTAAGACGTGCCGCCGAGGGTGGAAATGGCAGAAAGCATAAACTCGGTGTCGTCTGAGTGGAGCAGGTTCCTGACTCGGCAAGAACCAGTACCGAGAGCAGCGAGAATCAGAGCTCGGTTGGAAATACTCTTGGATCCGGGGGGCGTCACGGTGAGCTTGAGGTCACCAGGAATGCCGGGCGTCACCTCGATAGAGTCTGAAAGGACGATTCTGATATCACGGTCCTCCACAGAGCTGGCCTTTGCCTCATGGGTCTTGCCAATGGCTGACAGCAGCACAATCTTCTTTTGCGCGCCGTCATTCTTCTTATCCACACCCATTTTCTTGAGCAGCACGTCCACAGGGCACTTCTTGCCAGCAGTCAAGTTGACGACTCGCTTGTCCTTGACAGATGTGGGCAGTCCATAGGAAGCAATGCATTTTTCGAGTCTAGCAACAGCTTCGGGTCGCAGCACGCCCAGGAATCGAGCCAGCTCTGCCTCCTTGACCATGCCAATAGCCACAGCCTCTCCATGCAGCAGCTGGGGAGTAAGCAGCGCCTCAATAGCGTGGCCAATGGAGTGGCCAAAGTTCAGCAAGTTGCGAAGGCCGCCCTCTCGCTCATCCGAAGAAACAACCTCCGCCTTGACTCCAGCCGAGCCAATGACGATGCGTCTCAGCACATCCTTGATGGGCTGCAGACGGCCTTGGCCCTTGGAGCGCACACTCGACAGAATCGTCGGCGCCGCCTCCTCCAGAACAGTAAACTCCTTCTCGTTCCAAATCGCCGCAGTCTTGATAACCTCGGCCATGCCATTGATAAACTCGCGCACGGGCAGCGTCTCCAGAAACGCAAGATCAATGAAGATCCTCCGCGGCTGCCAGAACGCACCCACGAGGTTCTTCCCCATCGGCGTGTCAATCGCAGTCTTGCCCCCAATCGACGAGTCCACCATGGCCAGCAGCGTCGTCGGCACCTGGACGAAGCGCACGCCGCGCATAAACGTGGCCGCCACGTAGCCAATCATGTCGCCAATGACGCCGCCGCCCACGGCAATGATGACCGTGTCGCGCGTGCACTGCTGCGACAGCAGCCAGTCCTCGATCTCGGCCTTTGTCTCGCGGCTCTTGGACGCCTCGCCGGGCGGGATCTTGTAGGTGAGCAGCCGCGCATTCTGGTTGGCCTTTGCGGACTCGAATCGCTGCTGGAACGCCGGGACGTAGGTGTCGAAGAGGTTCGTGTCGGTGATGAGCACATACGTCGACGAGGCCAGGTTCTGCGTCAGGTCCTGGACGATGTAGTTGGGCCACAGCGCATGGTCGACGACGATGTTGGGCTCGCCCAGGATGGAAATCGTGTGCGGGGCTTTTGCGTCCGCCATGTTTGGGATTGCTCGAGGCGCCGCTTCGCCTCCAGAGCCTGTGTTGGAATTGGGTGAGGTCGAAATCCGAATTGGCTCTGCAAAGCCGCCGCAGAGATGGGAAGCAATGGCGTTGCTGGGGTTTTCAATTTTCTCGTCACTCCAGCCAGCCTCGAAAATCTTGGTGGGGTGAGCTTATGAGGTTAGTCTAAGCGTTATGCAGCTCATCGAGTCACACCCGATATCGGCAAATATGCTAAATTTAGGTAGTAGATTGGTTCTGAAATCGAATCGCCCAACTGACAGATCCGTCAGACTAGACTAGCAGCAAGCGTCCGTCGACTTTATTCTCGCTGTTTGGTTGTAATACCTGCAGCATTGCCTTCTACGTATTAGTATCTATGTATATAAATGCCTGGAGAGACCGTCTTAAAAGCATAGAAGTCAATGGAAATTCGTCATCATTGCCTAGCAAGGGCTCAATTCACAACAAGCCATTGCTGAGAATCCCGAGCCTGTCCGAGCCCAGCTGCTTACGTAGGATTCGCAACTCAGAGTGAGAGGAACGACAATTTTTTCCTTCAAGGCTGACGGCCGGATGCAATGCAACATCACGTCTGACAGGAGAGTGGATGACGGGATGCATGTGAGTAAAAGCCGGTGTAGGATTGGTATAAAGGTTAAGCGAGAGTAAAACGCCGATTGGTGCAGAGTTTCGATATCATATTTTAGTGTACAGTAGATATGTTGTGTGTCCATGATGAGTCCATCTCTAGCGCTCGAGTTGCCGTATAAACAAGAGTTGCATATGCCTCAATATTTACAGTCATGTCTTATCAATCACTCCGCCGAAACAGGCATATCCCAAAGAACAAGGAATAGAAAAGCACAACCCAAGTTAGTTGATCATGGCAATTGAGCCTCCAATAGGCTTCTCTCCGATCCAAGAAGCGCCGCCCCTGTAGATGACCCTTGGCGTCGAATGTAAGCAAGCAATCGAATGCATCCAGAAGGGGTTACACCCTCTGCACGACGAGCCTGCGCGAGAGTCTCGGGCCGCGTCCGCCTCAGAACTTCCTTTTCCGACAGGGCCAGGCCCGGGATGCCATCGTAGTCCAGGTCCAGCGGCAGCCGGATGTTTTCGTCGTTTATGAATTGCCCGCGCTCCGCTGCCTGCATTTTGATATAAGGGGCATAAGCTGCTTCGATGACAACTCTCTCTCGAATGCGCGCCGGGTAGTTGAGGATCTCGGGCACGACTGCGCTAAGCTGATCCAGCTGGATCCGCTCCCCAGTGTTGGAGAGCCTCAGCATGTCGATACCGGTGCGCCGCTGAGAGCTCCTCTTCACCTGGAATCCTGCTTGGTTCCATTCATCTGGCGCCAGAGACACAGCACCCAGCGATTTGGTGAGATCGAGAATCTGCTGCTTCTCGTCTGAGAAGACGCTCCATCTGTGGTCAGAGACGACGCCCCACTCGCGTCCCTTTTGCGTCAGTCGAAGGTCAGCATTATCCGCTCTAGCCGCCATCCGAAACTCGCTCCTGGATGTGAACATGCGGTAGGGCTCAGTAACGCCTTTGGTGATTAAATCGTCAATCATGATTCCGATGTAGCCATCAGATCTGGATAGTGAGGCGCCGGGTAAGCCCAGAGCAGATCGCCCGGCATTCATACCGGCGATAATTCCCTGGCCGGCAGCTTCCTCGTAGCCTGTAGTGCCGTTAATCTGCCCTGCTAGATAGAGTCCGTCAATCGCCTTTGTTTCAAGGGTAGACTTTAGGCCTCGAGGATCAACATAGTCGTATTCTACTCCGTAGCCAGGCTGCAGCATCTTGACTTCCTCCAAGCCCCGTATTGAGCGCAGGACTTGCTCTTGCGCGTCAGCGGGTATTGTCATGGATAGTCCATTGGGGTATATTATTGGGTTGTCGAAGCCTTCTGGCTCAAGCCATACAATGTGACGTTCCTTGTCTGCAAATCGAATGACTTTTGACTCCAACGAAGGGCAATATCTCGGGCCCTTGACGGTTTCACGAATGTGAATGGATTTGTCCAGGTTGTCTTGAACAATCTTGTGTGAAGCGTCGTTTGTGAATGTGATGCTGCAGGTGAGTTGGTCTCGAACAGCCACCTCTGTATTCAAGTAACTGAATGGAGCTGGAGGATCGTCGCCAAATTGTCGCTGAAGTATATCAAAGTTGATGGACGACTTATCAAGTCGCGGAGGAGTCCCCGTCTTCAGCCGCCCCAGCTGAAAGCCAGCGTCCCGCAGCGATTTGCTCAAGCCCGTTGTCGCCGCCTCTCCAATGCGGCCTGCCGGATATGCCTCCAGTCCAATGTGTATTTCGCCTCCCAGAAATGTTCCTGTAGTGATGACTACTCTGCCGGTTTGTAAGATTTCACCATTTTCCAACCGCACACCAGCAATGGCGCCTTTCGATCCCTCAGTGGACCCTTCGTTCTCTGACAAGACGATATCCGACACGCTTTCGAGGACAATCGACAAGTTTGGATATGATTCGAGCTCGCTTCTCATGTACTTTTTGTATAAATCTCGGTCAATCTGCGCTCGGGGGCCCTAAAAGCAGCAGGATACGTTAGCATTAAGCTCGAAGAAAACAAACTTCTCATGTGGTGAAATTACATACCCACACGGCCGGGCCTTTTCTGCGGTTCAGCAAATGGAACTGAACACCAGCCTTGTCTATAATCCTTCCCGCCAAGCCGTCAAGAGCATCAATCTCTCGAATAATCGTTCCCTTGCCAATTCCTCCAAAGCTCGGGTTGCAGGAGCATGTTCCCAGATTATCGAGCTTGGGCGTAACCAGGGCCGTCCGCGCACCGGCTCTCGCAGCAGCAGCACAAGCCTCGGCGCCGGCATGGCCACCTCCTATAACAACAACATCGAAGGCTCTGTAAAAAAAGGACGTTTAGTAATCTATTTATTTCACTCTGTGATCTCTCAAAATTGATGGTTTCGCACCTGTGGTTGTCTGTGACTGTGGCAAACCGACGGTGCCTGAGAATTGGTCGCCAGTGAAATGATCGTGAACGCAATAAAGCACTCATTTCACATGGATATCGTCAATCGCTATATCATACACTCCTCGTTAGAAATCATGGTGCGTTGACAGTCTTCTTGATGATTGCTAGAGGCAGTGTCGCAATAATTTTTATCGATAGCTCCCCATACATGCATATGCACGATAGTTGCATATGACGTCTTTTCTGCTTCGGCACTCTTCGATGTATCAAATACTATAATCACAGCTGTGTCTCACTTCCAGATTGACAAAATCTAGATTATTATCATATATTATAGTGTTCATAGCCGCATTGCGTCTCATATCTTCTATAAATCCCTAAGACCAAGAGGACACCGCATCCTCAACCTCTTCCAAAAACGTCGTCGTGTTATGAACTGTTGTACCGCCAAGAACCACACGCACACCAGGCATCGTAGCGTTCACTCCAGCAATCATTTTGGCCTCTTCATACGTAACGCCTCCCACCATGAAAACAATAATGTCTTGCGGCTTATCTCTAGTAGGGACGCTGTCTTCAACAAACGGATACTGCTGATCTTTTAATCGACCCTTGATGAGATTCTGCAGAGTGCCCTCCAACAGCGAGCTGTGTTGTGTGTAAACGTTTTCCACGCCCTTGAGGCCTTTGAAGCGATTTGCCGTGCCGGAAAATATACCAGCCGAGTCAAATATGTCTGAGATACCGCCCCGAGCGTCTGACGTATGTAGTGAAGAGTGATAGGCCAAGACCTTTTTGACTAGATCTGACTGTCTTGGGGATACGTTGCCAGCCGCAACAAGGAGATCCATGAGCATAGGAAGAGCGCTTGAGGGATGCTTCTGATAACGCAGGGCGTATAGAGCGACTACTCCGACTTTGCTTCCCGCTGGTACATTGGGGTTCTGAATGACTTTTTGTATGGCCTACGTGAGAGATCAGTAAATGCAATATTCCATTATCAAATGGAGATTTAATCACCTTTAGATCAGAGGCGTGGTTGTCGTTGCAAGCCAAGCTCTGCTCGAGCTCACTAACTTCCAGCAGGCTCTCCGCAGCAACTCTCCGACTGAGCTCAGAGACGAGAGTAACGTGCTTGCTGACGTTGCCTGAGAGCTTCCGAAACTCTGGATACTCCTCGATAAACCGCTTCATGTCGGATATCGATTCAATATTTGCATTATTCTTTGTTTTCGACTGGTACTGCTCGACGTATTCTTTGATGGTTCCGCCCAAGTCACCAAAGTTTAGAAACATGTTCTTCTTAAAAAAGGGATCCTGATCTTGAGAGAGAACAATCTCCTTCAGTTCAGGTCGAATGTCTGGGACATCACTGAGGTCGACTCGGCCATTTTTGATGCCAAGAAGACCATGAACCATGGCTTGGTAGGTCCACTGGGTAAGGAGGGGCGTGATCGGATCCTCTCTGCGATCCAGAATGAGCAGCAGCGGAGGTGTATCAACTTTGCGGAAGTCAAATAGTTGATCTTCTTTTGTCATCAAGTAGCGCACTTCGGAAGCTAATTTTGTAGCAAGAGAGCTGCTCTTTTCGTAACGGATCAACGGCTTCTTCTTGAGGGAAAGAAGAACAGCAATAAGACCTTCGGAGCAGCGTTGTAGCGAATCAGGATTCCATTTATCGGGGCTACCGGCCCATATCCTTTGCTGCGGGAGAGCCATGTTGAAGCTGAACAGATCCGGGTTGATGACGATGTAATCAGCAAAATGCTCCTGCACGACTTTAATGACTTCGTGATCGTCCGCCTCGGCAAGCCGCTCGAGCGCAGACTTCTTCGCTACGTTGGTGAAGAATAAATAATACTCTCCATACTTTGGATCCCGGAGCTCGTCTATGAGCAGCTGAATAGTCTCCGATGAAGGGCGCACCAGACAGATACACCGAAGATGGCGCATCTTCTCACGTGCAGCATTATCCAGGCGATCGATGAGGTAGATCTCATAGTCCAGCAACGCGGACTGGGTGATGGCCGTTGAGACGATGGAAATGGTCTCTTTGTCCAGCAATAAGACCTTCATTTTCGAAGATGACGAGTCGCCCGAGGCCAGCATCATCTTGGACAAGTAGCCCGAGACGGCCTGAGAGACATCCATGATGACGAATATATCGCTGGGTCGCCGGCTACATCATATCACGCCGCACACAATCCGGGCTCGCTCGCTGCGACCAAGAGGCTGCCTGTGATCCAGAAGCTGTTGTGAGGATATCCAATCTGCGGGTTTAGCTAAGACGCTCCTATCGACAAGCTGGAGCCAGGCTGAGACGTGTTACGGGATATGGAGGAGTGACCTCACTCGGAAGAACAGGTAAGAGGGAGCTGCGAAACTAGTTCCCAATCAGGACTAGTGCGGCTAGCTTGCTGATACCTATTCCGACGAGCTGAGCAGATATTGGCAGTTGATATTGAAGGAAATCGGAAATTGTATTTTGAGCTTATAGGAGAAAATTTATCGAATAATACAAGAGGAAGTGAGAATTGATCTGGAGAGTGTATTATTAAACGAGCATGCTCATCTTCTCAAGTTTTGTAAGCTATTAGTAGGCTTGTGCTCCGTAACAGCTTTGCAACACGACATATTTTTCTTTTAAAGAGCCAGGTCATATTACAAACAGAAAGATCTACATACTTTTGTACAAGAGTCAATTTGAGATTCTATCCAAGATCTTTCTCTCTGCTCCCATCCTCTTCGTAAAAATTCGTCAAGAGTCGGATCTCGGCCATACAGGCTTGTCCGTCGCAGTAGCCGCTAAAATCCCCAAGAGAGTGGGTAGATCGCCGCACCTGATTGGCCCATCGGTTCTCCAAAGCTCTCCAAATCCAGCCCGACGTATCGATTTACACCACAAATCAACATCAAACTCACCTTTGACGGCTGCAATTCATCCATCGCCCGGACCAATGGGTGCCTACCGCAGCGCTTAATTGATCATTCTCCTTTGCTCTAGCGAATGGGCTGCCAACTATCTCGATAATGTCGACAGAGACTTGCCCGGCGCGGCATGAACCAACGTAAGCTGCCCTCTCTCATCATGTCCATCTTACGGAACCTCACCTCACCTGAAGAGTTGGAAACTGGATTGTTTCATACTCACTTACCGAGATAAAATAGATTCTCCTTCACACACGGCCTCATCCTCGGCCAACTCTCCGTCGTTCTCATCCTAGCCGTCTTCATCAAATTTTTCATCTTCGGCGACGCCCCATCGCCTGACGTAACCGCATCACTGCGGGCCACAGAACGCAGATCCAGGACTCTAGCACACAAGCAATCCCTCCTTAGACTGCGCTCTCCTAGCCAGCGTCACGGCCAGTCGCTCAACCGGAAGAAGTCCACCGTCCTCAGGAGCCCCCCGACGCTGACCATTGGATCCATCCTGAGCAAGACGTACTACAACGTCGACAGTCACCAGCCGGAAAGCCTCGACTGGTTCAACGTGCTGATCGCCCAGACCATCGCCCAGTTCCGCAGCGACGCCCAGCACGACGATGCCATCCTCAACTCGCTCACAAAGACGCTCAACGGCACCTCCAGGCCCGACTTTGTGGATGAGATTCGCGTCACGGAGCTCAGCCTAGGCGAGGAGTTTCCCATCCTGAGCAACTGTCGCATCATCCCTGTAGACGAAGACGGCATCAGCCTGGGCAGCCACGTCAAGTTTGATCCCGCCACGGCAGCTCGGGATGGCACGCGCCTCCAGGCTCGCATGGACGTGGATCTCAGCGACATGCTCACCATGGCAGTCGAGACAAAGCTTCTTCTCAACTACCCCAAAAAGCTGTCTGCAGTTCTTCCGGTAGCCTTGTCTGTCTCTGTTGTCCGATTCAGCGGAACATTGTCTATTTCATTCCTTCCGAGCAACCCTTCTCAATCAACGCCGACTATGATGGCCTTTAATTTCTTAGATGACTACAGGCTCGATTTTTCCATCAGGAGTCTGCTCGGAAGCCGCTCACGGTTACAAGACGTGCCCAAGATCGCACAACTCATCGAGTCACGGCTGCACAGATGGTTTGACGAGCGAGCTGTAGAACCTCGATTCCAGCAGATTGCACTACCCAGTCTATGGCCCAGGAAAAAGAACACCAGAGGCCCAGACGATGCCATGGCAGAAGGAAGCGCAGGCTCCAAGGGAAAGGAGAGGGATTCTTCAGTCGGGGACCAGAGTACTCTACGACACCGCCGACCCCTGGTGGACGATGAGTATTCTATAGAAGGCTCACTACGCAGTCTTAGTAGGGATGCGAGGATCTAGAGCTTCGTTTGAGACGGACAGTGCAGAAAACGTATTAGTTATGCGGCTGAATAAGCACGACTTGCGCAAGATATGGAAGAGCAGCATCAAAATCTCACGATAATACAATACGAGGCCTCGATTGGAGTTATCAGATGGTTACAGCGGGAATGCCCATGGGGGTCTGTTGGTTTTTGGTTTTTGTCCGAGCTGGAATTTCCCGGCTCATCATGCATAAGATAGGTTGGACCAAGGCATATATCTATATATACAAAAGTCTAAAAATATTACCTTAAAACACCGCCAGAGCAAGCGGCGACTCGGTCAACGTATAAAGATTCCTCCACCAAGCATACGCCCCCCCAAACAACAACACATAGTAAATCCCCGACCACAAAACCGCCTGCCGCGACCTCGAAGATTCCGATAGCCAATACGGCTCAACAGTCCCCCACACGCGAGGCAATCCCATGGAATTGCAAAACGCATGGACAAGCACAACAGCCAGCAGCGAGCCCGTCCGCAAAAACAGGAAATTCGCCAGGGCGCCAAAGAGGGACGTGTACGAAAACTGGAGGACCGAGCGGGCAATGGCGGCCACGAGGGGCTTTTCCGGGTGCGTGACGCGGAACTCGTAAAAGTGGTGGACGTGGGCGAGGCCGAAGACGACGGGGGACAGGAAGATGACTCTGCTGAGGCTGGAGCCGGCCTTGAGCAGCAGCGGGACGGCGGCAGCTCGGAAGAGACACTCTTCGGTGACGGGGCCCTAAACAAACTGATAAGTATGTAGAAAAACAAATAGGATGGGTGGGACTGGGATCATCGTCGGTTGCTAAGAACACGATATGACTACGACATGAGATGAGATGAGATGAAAGAGAGACACCCACAGCAACGTAGTTTCTCCAAGCGGGCCATTCAGCCCAAACATGCCTCAAAGGCTCCATCCCATCCACCCACTCCCTCCAAACCCCATCGACAACCAGGCACTCATACAGCGGCCCAGCAAACAGCACGCCCGTCAGAAAGCATGTCTTGAGCGTCTCCATCAATCCCAGCGGCCAATAGCCCATCAGCCGCATCGGGCTGCAGGCGGCGTCCGAGCAGACATGGCGCAGGATGAACAAGGTGGCGAGCGAGCATGCAGTAGTGGAAAGTGAAACGGTGACGATCCGGGCGCGGATGGCCTCGGGGGCGTCTCGCGAGCGATCTGGCGAGGCCCTCGTCTTGGAGGAGGTGTATAGCGGGAGGACGTAGACAAAGGTATACGCCGTCTGTACTTTGGGAGAAGAGCAAAAGCATAAATAGATTGATCAGCGCTTTTTGTTTCGTTTGATCTGATGTATCATCTAGAAAACAGAGTTTCAGACTATTGGGGCTTACCAGGAGACCAAAGGCCTGGGCCTCGGTGAGAGGAGGCTCCATCTTACGAAGGGAAGACTTTGATGGCGATGGTGGTTGGGTGGAGGGCGTCACCGCAAATGTGGTAGCACTATGCGGGATGCGGGATGAAGCAGCAGACAGCCACAACTGCAGCTTCTTACAATGTGAAACGGATAATATCTCCCAGTATCGAAGAAAACGTGTGCATATGAGACGATATACAGGCCACAGCAGGAGGAGCGGTTAACCAAAACAGCCGCGCGCCAGTCGCCGAAGAGGGAGCTTCAGAGCGAATGAAGCTGCATGGGAAAAAAAAAGAGGGGAATAAAATCTAGCTACCCTATGTAAGCGGGAGGAGAACTACGATAGCAGCACCAGCTATTTATTTACGATGAGCATTACGAAAATTAACGCGCAAAAGGCTGTTGGATGTAATATTCAGAAATACAAAATAGAAAAAAGAAGGCATTCTCCTATGAGATAATGGTGCTTTGGAGTCTTGAGCTAAAAGACAATGGAAGCATTGAATCCATGAGATGCCACTAACAGCACGATCGGATTGTCCTAGTCCAGGCCGGACTCTAGTAAAAGGTACCTGCTCCATATCATGCAACCTCCTCAACTGTTCATGCCCTACTGCGGCTCTAATTGAACTCAATGCGAGTGCCATGTGCTAGGCTCGAGGGCCACTCGATCCCAAACGCCCGTCTGTCCTGGTGTCTTTTTTTGGCAGCCAAACTCTAATCCAGCTCTTCTGCCATTCGCCAATTGGCTCGTCTCTTTTTGCACCAGGCTGAGAGTTTTCCCCAGCCTTCTGCCCTGGTCCTGGCACGCGCTCTCCGTCTATTAGTCAGTCCTGCGGTGGGTACCGGGTTCTCCGTAAGAGATGCTCCGTATCAATCAACGTTTATTTGAGCCAGGGGTGTTTGGTCAGCCCAGTACAGTATACGAGTCGCTCGATAGACTCGGAGCGGACAGGCGCAATGACGTGAAGAAAAGAAATGAACCGTAATCGACGCTACCCATGGAGCCGCGACCATCAGGTCCTATCGCTCCGCATCCTCCGGATTGCTTCAGGTGGATGAATCGCCGTCGTGCACATGGTTCCCAAGAATAGGTATTGCTACACCACCACCACCAACATGATGGATGTCGTTTCATCGTCGCATCCTGCCGAGAGCTGGCAGATGTTCTCCGGCTAGCGTCTTCCGCAGCATCCAATCTGAGGCGTCCATGTGGTCGTGCATAGGACCCGCGCTTTTTCCCATTCAATATTTGCCAATCGGCTGCGCACCGTCCACTCGCTCAATTGTCCTGCCTCGAAAAATTCCATCCATGTGCCACGAGCTGGTATCGTCTCCTGCATGCTATCTATGGAGCCACATGCTGTTGGACTGAGCGCTTCCCATTCAAGCGGGCGCCTCTGCAGGGTCCGGGACGACAGGGCCAAACAGCACAGAGCAGAGCAGCGAGCAGAGCGTCCTGAAGCTCGACTTGTTTGTATCTGTGCATCTCTGTGCATATGCACCGGGGCTCGCTTTTGCAGGCGCACATCATATCAGCAGCCAGAAACGGACGTCGGTAATTTCAGCATATGCAAGGGCAAAGCGCCTGCGCCACTCGCTTGCTCAATCACCCAGCGCAACGCAACGCAACGCAACGGACCTGCAGCTCCGCAAATTAATACCGCAGCCAGACGGCGGAGCAGGGACAAATCTTGGAATCGCGATTGATCCGAGCTCAAGCTGTCCCAGCTTCTGAGGATCGGGCTTCGAGATTGCTTCGTCGCCAGGACTCCAGCTCCATCAGCTCAATCAAACAAGCCCGTAGTCAATGCTGTAAGTTTGCTAGTCTGGCACGGATATCCCAGGCACAGCTCCGCTAGAGGCCATCGAGCCGGAGCCACTTTGGTGCCTGAAATCTTACATGTCGTAGCTTGCCGGAAAGTTCAATGCTAGACGATGCTAGAGACAGATGTGGTTAACCCGCCAGCCAGTTCTTTGACCGCGTCCACGGCGGGCCTCACCTTGAGCATCCGACCTCTTGTTTTTCTGCTTGTTTTGTCTCTCACTGAAGCACATCGTCTTCGCATTTGCATCGCATCGTCAGCCCGGACCTGGGACCTGCAGCGCCCTGCAGCAACTTAGCGGCGCTTGTCTGCTTGGGTGGTTCTGCGCGCTCTATTCAGTGGACGTAAACAGGCCCCTGCAGCTGCGTCTGTCTAGTCGCCGGGGCATTGAACCGCTGGTTCCACTGGGTTTTTCTTCTTCTGTTCTTGCCCTCATCAGTTATCGCCGGATTCTTGTTGCTGTTGTTGTCGTCGTTGCTGTTGTTGAGTTTACCGAAAAGTTAGCTGTATGCAAGGGGCAGAGACAGTAGAGAAGATAGATGATGATAGCAGAGAGCATGCATTTCGTAGAGTTCGTAGGCGGTCAGCAAGCCACTGGCTCGCTGTCAATTACTGCGGTACTTGAACTTGCCTGCAGCTGGTGCCGGGAGCAGAGGTACCGCCTTAATTCTGCCCGCCATTGCATGAAAAGAGGCAGTCACGCCCCAATCTACGCCATACCGCCTTTGCTTTCCTTTGTATCAGTGACCATCGCCAACTTCAACTCAACTCCAGACTGCGTATCTCGTAGACTTCATGCTCCCTTCGCCATTGTCTCGACATGGCTCCGGCCGCCTTGCATGAATGTATCACCGCCTCCTAGCGCACGCTGCGGGCCCAGGAACCACCCCGGCGCTGCAGAGGCCACGCCAAAAGCACCACCGTCACGGCCGCTCCCCTTTTCATGGGCCTCCCCCCGGGCCGCATCGCACAGCCGGGCAAAGGCTCTTCTCTTTTCGCTTCCACCTCCACACACTCTTTTGTCTGTCCTTCTCGAATCGCCGACCCGTACGCTCTTTTTTTTTGCCTTGCCCATCCTCGGACTACGCACGCGCGCTTGGCTTGCATCTCGCAGCTGACTCTGCTCTCGCGGTTAACGTCTAGAGGCCTGACGAATCGAATCTTAATTGCCCTCGATTATACCGTCCTATTTTTAATATTTAATTCTTCCATTCTTTAAATCCTCTTTTGGCGGCCGTCTGCGACTCTTTGCGACTCCCAGCGCGCTGCTAATATTTTTTGTTCCCAACCCTTCCACTTCGATTCTCATTGGTTTTATTTCATCTGCTTTTTTTTGCGAAAATTCTAGCCGCCGATACCTGCGCGACCAATCATTTTCTGATTCTTCTCCCCCTCTTCTTATTTTTGACCATTCAATTCTTCTTTCTGTTGTGTGTGAGGACCGGATTGGCATGGCCGCTACGACGAATCGAAACTGTCGGAAATAATACCACTCGCTCAGCAAATTCACGAATTGCCACCTCCGCACCAGACGACTAATACGCTCGTATAGACTGGAGCGGCTCGCGTCCTGGACAGCCCAAAACCTCCCGTCGTCACTTTTTCGAATTGACTAGTTGGGCAAATGTTATGAGGCAGCTCTCCTGCTGAGTGAGCAGAGGATGCCCGATTCGCCCGACTCCGAGCGATCCTCCCAGGGCGACAGGCTTCAGATTCGCCTTGTGCCCTACACGCCGACTCGACTCAGCGGCGGATCCAGCCTGAATCTTTCAGCCCTCGCCGAGTCCGCTCGCGACAATGTTGAAATCCACTCCGCAGATGAATCGCCGATAGCGACAAGCCCACCATCCTCAGGCTCGACAATCGCCGGCCCGTCTCGTCCCTCAATCAGACGCCGGAATACAAGCGTTGAGCTAGGCGATGTCCCTCCTATCGCTTCGCCCAGCGAATTATCCGAATCGTCTCCTACCGAGCCGCAGCGTGGCAGATTTCGATCTCAGTCTGTAGTGTCGCAGTCATTGAGGACCTTGACAGCTCCGCCGTCTCCTGAAATCCAGCCTACAGCCCCTGCCCAGCGCCGCACCAAGCGATTCGTCGACATCAACTTGAATTCTGACAACAAGACCTTCTCCCTCGTTCCCCTGAAGCCCACCAGACCTCGCACCGACTCTGTTGTTTCTGCTCGCACCGACACGACGACCCATCACTCTGTCATATCTACTCGCACCGATACGACAACGCAGCACTCCGTTGTATCCACCCAGACTGACCAAACGCCGCATTACTCTGTCGCTTCCAGCGGCTCTTATGCGCAGCAAACGTCGAGCATTTTTAGCGAGGACCGTCCCAGCTCGCCCTTGACGACCCTGGCCGAGGATGATAGCACATCTGCGACCGCCTCATTCACTCCATCCATCCCCGAAGAGGATTTTACTGCCGCCTCGCCTTGGAACTACAAATTAGTAGGTGGGCTGCGCAAGGTCCAGAGAGACGTAAGCGAATCGAGTGACCTCCCTACGCCAACCCGGTTACCCTCATTTCTTGAAGAAGAGCCCTCCTCTCCAAAAGCTGTGGCGCCACAGGAGCCCATTTCTGCCTTTACTCTCACAACCAAGGCCTCCTTCCAGTCCAACAAGACTGGCAACACGGTGTCAGATCGCACAAACTACAAGACCTATGCTCAAAGCTCTTCTGCTCCGGACACTGTTCGCAATTCCGTAACATCGGACTTTGACAATGCTTCGCTTTTCCCTGGTGGTCCCAATTACGTGGTCTATGATGGCGCGTCAGCGTCTGGCCAATCTCGAGGCCACTCTCACACTCATTCCAACTCCAACTCCAATTCTCACTCGGATTCGGAGCAGCAGAGAAACCCCAACTATGTAGTCCACGGACATCGACGCACCATGTCTGACGGGACCGACATCTCTCATGTACAGTCCGAATACTCGAGAGACAGCATGGTGGTGGCTCCTTTACGGCCTGTAAGATCACATCGCCTCCACTCCAGCTCGACTGTCATGAGCTCCAGATCGCTGGAGCACCTGAGGACCGGATCTCTAAACTCAATTTCCACCTCTCCCACTAGAGCCAACCAAGATGCAGAGCGCGATGCATCAGTGGGAGTGTCTACACAGATTGACCTCGACGGGCGGCACGCGGCGACTCCCTCGAGCTCTGGCCAAGCCGTTCA